CGGTTAGTGCTTGTATAGCTAAGTGCATGATCACTATAAATAGGATTTACTCTTCTTTTTACATTTTACAAAACTAAGTTAAATGGAATGTCTGATTGTTTTTCTATAAGTCACATTTGCCTCCACGATATTTTTGGGTGTTGCTGGTCCCTTGCTGGTCCCTTGCTTATTATTATATTTTATATATATATTTATTTTAGTATTATTATTATTATTTTGAAAGTTTTAACTCTAAAGTATCAAAAACTCCATGTTTGCATCATCTGAACGTGTTATGAGAAACTACACTCATGGGTGGCTTCAAACCGCCAAAAAAAACAAACATTATGTTCACGCATAATGTTATCTATGTCGAGTCATGACGGTCACGCAATGGTCCGTAGGTCTAGTTTGTGTCAAGTATCACCCCAGGGGAGAGAGGGCGCGTTCCCTCAAGGATAAAAGATATTTCTCTCGAGCAATTCGGCCTTCTTCCCTTGGCCCTCGTACCCTCAGTATCTCGCAAGGAAAATTTTTTTCTACACCACCTCCAAGAATTTTCAGGCACGTACCTCTTCTCATTTTCGACTCTTCAGTCCCCTCTTTAGATCTTAGTTTACAACATTGTGTTCCAAGCGGTCAAATGACGGTAATACGTGTTTTGATACTTGGTCATTCCTTTATTCGCCGTTTACGCGAATATGTAGGGCGGAGTACCGATCTAGATGCTAATTTGCATATTCGGGAATGCATAGAGTTAAAATGGCACGGGGTCGGGGAAAGAACAGTACTCACGACCGTCCAATTTGATCTTTCTGTGGTTAAATCGTTCAAGCCCGACATAGTTATATTACAGGTAAGCACTAACGACTTGAGCCATCTTTCCCCAGTGAACGTTGGCTCAGCAATTGAAGACCTTACCCGGTCTCTCCATGACTCGCTAAACGTGAAATGTGTGTGTTTGTCAAGTTATTTATCGAACAGGGGCTCCTACGTTCAACAAGAACGTGATCCTCTTAAATCGGTATTTTAAGGTAGTGCTAGAGCCCATCCCTTATGCAATTTTCTGGAGCCATAAAGGGTTGTGGAGGGCAAAAACTAATTTTATGGCCCGTGACGGGGTACATTTAAATGGTCCTGGTCAGCACAAGCTCTATCGTAGTTTGAGGGGGGCAGTTCTACATTGCCTAAAATCGCTATAGCCGCAAATCGGGTATATGAAACAAATTTGAAACATCCTCTTATTTATCTATAGTGCCCGCCTTGCCCAGGCATTTTATGATTTTCATTTTATTGTCTTAAGATTTGCCAGTTCCCTTTATGTTTTAAGCCAAGCCGACTTGTCAGTTGATGTTTGTTTTCACAGCCCCTGTTTGTTTGCCGTTGGGTTTTACTCCCACGAGCAATGGCTGTGCTTGTTCGGTTCATTGGAACCATGGTTCGCACGTCCAACGTGCATTTATGGCTTTGGCGATGATTTATTTTCTACTTACCCCTGCCGTATGAGTGAACAATCTTTTGACCGCCTCTTTACGAGTGGTCCAATGCTCTCGGCACTAGCGGTAATGCATTGTTTTGGGAACTTGGCCTCTGTTATCTTTTTAATCCGGTTACGTATCGTTGCTTATGAACCAGAGAACCTGTGGAGCTGCCCACCTCAACTGCGACCAAAAAATTTAGGATGGAATTTTATCTTGTCATTTTGAGTCGTATTCCTTCTTATCAATTTTGTCTCGAAATCGCATTGCATTCCATCGTATTTAATTACCTAATTTTATCTATTATCAATAATTCATGCCTCCTCAACTGCGACTAAAAAATTTAGTTTGGAATTTTATCTTGTCATTTTGAGTTGTATTTCTTCTTATCAATTTTGTTTCGAAATCACATTGCATTCCATCGTATTTAATTACCTAATTTTATCTATTATCGATAAGTCATGCCTCCTAGAAAGCGTGCGGAACAGCCATCAAGGATAGGCCGCCAAACACGTTGTAAGCGAGTGCGAACATCAGAGCTGACAGCAGCGGACCCACCTGTACCTCAACCAGCTATTACCAATCCCGGTTTGGTCTCCTTGGACGTAAACGCTCTCTCCGCAACCATATCGACAGCCATCTCAGAAGCGGTGAAAACAGCATTGTCTAAGGACCGTCTAACTGAGATCCTGGGACAAAACGCCGTTGAAGACGGCACGTCGATTGAAGCCACATTAGCAGGGCGGTCTCAAGCCGACCTGTCATCGGACAGCGTGACCACAGCTGTGAGCAACCATGTCAGTAACCTCACCGGTGCAGGTACAAGAGATAATTCTCTGCTTTTGGGTCCCGACAATGTTCAACCTAAACAAATTTTTACTAGCGTCTCTGTAAATCTTAGTTCCCGGGTGGGTTCGAAAATTAAAGCTAAAATCTGGGCTAACGAATATGTGGAATTTGGGGCCTTATTAGCATCCACCCCTCAAATCGGTAAGTATGCGCTATCTATGACACCCTCCACTGGGTCATTAAAGCAACCGCGGCTGACTCTTGAGCCTTATCACACACCTAAGAGGGTTTTCAACATACAACAGTGGGTTTCAGCATTTAACATTTTTGTCTCGATTTATATTGAGCGATACCAGAGTGAAACCCTGCAGTTGATGAAGTATTGCGAGGTAGTCCGTGACATAGCTTTATCGCACGGGGATTGGCTCTGGTATGACGAACAATTTCGTTGTCTGAGGCAATCTGCAACCGATAAATATCCATGGGATCAAATACATTGGGAACTTTGGTTAAGGGCCTCAGCTAATTTTCGGAGATCACAGCCGATCACCAGTAAGCCCCAAGCTTTAACACGCCAGCGTTTTCGTCCAAATTTTTTCCCCCGAGGAACGTGTTGGGCATTTCATGCCGGAAAACACTGCCAAAGGTGTCAGTTCGAACACGTTTGCTATAAATGTGGAGTAAAGCACCCAGCAATTCAGTGCTCTGTACCAACCCCTCAACAGCGATCTGGTGGAGTTAAACCAAAAGGAAACTCTACTCAAGTATCAGGCCCTTCACACCCCGCCTGTAACGCCCGTAAGGGTGGAACGGCTTGAATGCCTCTTACACTGTTATTATGAGCAAAACAAAAAGCAATTCCTTGTCGATGGTTTCCGTTGTGGCTTTCGTGTTAATTTTGTTGGTGATCGACTTCCTTTTGAATCTCCTAATCTTAAGAGTGTCCTAGACCAACCGGAAATTGCTAGAATGAAATTGCGCAAGGAATGCGACGCAGGCCGAATAGTGGGTCCTTTTAGAACTCCCCCTTTTGCGAGCTTTCGTACCTCTCCTTTGGGCGTTGTACCCAAGAAGGACCCGTCTGAATTTCGTTTGATTCATCATTTATCCTATCCAAAAGGAAATTTTGATAATGATGCTATTCCTGACTATTGTTCCTCTGTCAAATACGCATCCGTTAGTGATGCGATCACAGCCATTAAGGCCACCGGGGAGGGTTGTTTTCTAGCTAAAACGGACATTAAATCGGCTTTTCGTATTATACCAATTCATCCTGCAGACTATTCCTTGCTAGGTATGAAGTTCGATAATTTGTATTACTTTGATCGGTGCCTACCCATGGGGCTTTCTTCTTCATGCAACATTTTTGAAGCTTTTAGTACCGCATTGGAATGGTTGGCTATTCATCGTCTGGGGGCCTCATCTCTTTTGCACATATTAGACGATTTTTTGTTTATTGCAAAGACCAAAGATCGGTGCGAGGCCGACTTGGGCAACTTTATTTCTCTACGCCATCATCTCGGAATACCCCTAGCCCCGGGAAAAACCGTCGGCCCTGATTCAGTATTGCAATATGCAGGCATTACTCTCGATTCGGTGAGAAGAGAAGCGCGACTACCAAACGAAAAGCTTCAAAAATGCCGCGTGCTCTTGCACAATTTGTATAAACGTCGCACAGTCAAGCTAAAAGAACTTCAGTCTTTAATAGGCTTACTAAATTTTACTTGTCAAGTTATTGTCTCGGGCCTTGTTTTTCTTCGCCGCCTGATCGATCTTACCAAGGGCGTACGACAGCCACACCATCATATCCGTTTATGTAAAGGCTCGAACAGGATCTCCTTTTGTGGATTCGGTTTTTAGACGAGTTCAACGGCAAATCATTTTTTCTCGACGATGCATGGGAAACGTCGCATACCCTTGAACTTTATACCGATGCAGCGGGGTTAATAGGCTTCGGGGCTGTCTTTGGTAAGCACTGGTTCGGCGGCGAATGGCCGCTTTCGTGCAAATCTTATAACATTGCAGTTTTAGGGCGCAATCCATTCAACCAAAATTTCCGGAAATTTCGGTCTAAAACTGAATGGATCGGCTCGGTCCAACCGGAAAAATTTCGAAAAAATCGGCTCACCTTTCGAGGTGGACCACTTTTCTCGGTTGGACCGGTCCGATCGAAATGGACCGGTTCCATTTGACCATTCCGACCCATTCTCAATCCCAGTACCTCGCTGTTCGGTATTGTCCATGTACAACATGGAGGAAAACACTTATTATGCAGCTTTTAGGGATTGTTAACAGCGGATCCATCGGTGTTACTCGTACTTCCACGTGCAGTTACAACAGCTCTGGAGCTGCTTCGCAAGCCAAGTGTATGTTTTGGCTGTTAACGGTTCTTTAAGACGATTTATTTCCTGAGAGAGTTTGGAATATTCTTTTCGTCATTCGAAAGTGGTGTTTGAACTCATATGGCAAATATCTGGGAATCTGGTAACGGTCCGCTCAAAATAATACTACGCTTGAAACACTTAATAGCTCACACAATAATCCCATTGATATCACCGTCGAAATCGTCGTCTAGCTCTAGTACGAGCAACAGTGATCAAACTCGTTTTGCGAGTGGGATGGAATGAGACTGTCCGGATGCGTCGCGATCCATTCGACACCAAGAAATTTTCGAACCTCAGCCCGGAAATTTTGGTTGAATGGATTGCGCCCTTAGAGTTATATCCTATTGTCCTCGCAACGCATATTTGGGGACATTTAATGGCTGATAAGTGTGTAATATTCTTTACCGATAACGCTGCCGTTGTTGACGTTATCAACAAGCAGACGTCCAAACATCGGAGTATTATGGTGTTGATCAGGGATTTAGTGTCAAGTTGCCTCAGATACAATGTATTATTTCACGCGAAACACATTCCCGGTTTTTACAATACTCGAGCCGATTACATTTCACGTTCTCAGGTAGCAAAGTTCAAGGAACTCTCACCGGATGTAGACGAGAATCCAACCACAGTACCTGACAACCAACTGCCCAAGAGTTGGTCTCTAACTTGAGTGGCTTGAGCTCAGCATTAAATATAACTGAAGGAACCCGGAGATCGTATCAACGCGCGTGGGTCATCTTTCGACAATTTTATGCTCAATTTTACGGATCCTCTAACCCCACGTTGCCATTATCCCCTGTCTGTCTTCCCCTTCATATTTCATATCTTTCCTTTCGCAAATTGGCTTTTTCTACGATAACTTTACATCTTTCTGCCATTTCTTACGCTCACAAACTCGGAGGATTTTGTGACCCAACCAAATCGTTTTTAATACAGAAATTACTGACAGCATTAAGTCGTCAAAGACACTCAGATATTCGTTTGCCCATTACAAGACCAGTTTTGCATGAGCGCGGCCGGTCCCTCGAATACACTAACTCTTCGGCTTTCCAACGCACTCTATTTTCCGCCATGTTTCTTACTGCTTTTTATGGACTTTTCCGAATTGGCGAGCTTTCGGCCAAGAGCACTCGCTTTGCGTGTTCAGTTGTCCAATATATCGTAATCGTAATATCGTAATCTGCAAATTTTATCGCGTGAAGGCGACCCATGCACGGCTAAGATCACTATCACTGATTATAAACACAATTCTGACCACCAGCCATTTGATATCCTAATCAGTCGGGATGATTCTGTCCCCTTTTTCCCGGTTAAAACCCTTCTTAATTACTGCAAATTTCGAAGTAATAGACCTGGCCCTCTTTTTTGTAATTCTGATCTGTCACCTATGACTGTGTATCAATTTAACACCGCGCTCCAGCGTTGCCTCCAATATTGTGGCTTAGACAT